CCCTCACTCTCTGTTCCCTCACTCTCTGCTCCCTCAATCTCTGCTCCCTCACTCTCTGCTCCCTCACTCTCTGCTCCCTCAATCTCTGCTCCCTCACTCTCTGCTCCCTCACTCTCTGCTCCCTCACTCTCTGCTCCCTCACTCTCTGCTCCCTCACTCTCTGTTCCCTCACTCTCTGCTCCCTCACTCTCTGCTCACTCACTCTGTTCCCTCAATCTCTGCTCACTCACTCTCTGCTCACTCACTCTCTGCTCACTCACTCTCTGCTCACTCACTCTCTGCTCACTCACTCTCTGCTCCCTCACTCTCTGCTCCCTCACTCTCTGCTCCCTCACTCTCTGCTCACTCACTCTCTGCTCACTCACTCTCTGCTCACTCACTCTCTGCTCACTCACTCTCTGCTCACTCACTCTCTGCTCACTCACTCTCTGCTCACTCACTCTCTGCTCACTCACTCTCTGCTCACTCACTCTCTGCTCACTCACTCTCTGCTCACTCACTCTCTGCTCACTCACTCTCTGCTCACTCACTCTCTGCTCACTCACTCTCTGCTCACTCACTCTCTGTTCCCTCACTCTCTGTTCCCTCACTCTCTGCTCCTTCAATCTCTGCTCCCTCACTCTCTGCTCCCTCACTCTCTGCTCCCTCACTCTGCTCCCTCAATCTCTGCTCCCTCACTCTCTGCTCCCTCACTCTCTGCTCCCTCACTCTCTGCTCCCTCACTCTCTGTTCCCTCACTCTCTGCTCACTCTCTGCTCACTCACTCTGTTCCCTCAATCTCTGCTCCCTCACTCTCTGTTCCCTCACTCTCTGCTCACTCACTCTCTGCTCACTCACTCTCTGCTCGCTCACTCTCTGCTCGCTCACTCTCTGCTCGCTCACTCACTCTCTGCTCACTCACTCTCTGTTCCCTCACTCTCTGTTCCCTCACTCTCTGCTCCCTCAATCTCTGCTCCCTCAATCTCTGCTCCCTCACTCTCTGCTCCCTCACTCTCTGCTCCCTCAATCTCTGCTCCCTCACTCTCTGCTCCCTCACTCTCTGCTCCCTCACTCTCTGCTCCCTCACTCTCTGCTCCCTCACTCTCTGCTCCCTCACTCTCTGTTCCCTCACTCTCTGCTCACTCACTCTGCTCCCTCAATCTCTGCTCCCTCACTCTCTGCTCACTCACTCTCTGCTCACTCACTCTCTGCTCACTCACTCTCTGCTCACTCACTCTCTGCTCACTCACTCTCTGCTCACTCACTCTCTGCTCACTCACTCTCTGCTCACTCACTCTCTGCTCACTCACTCTCTGCTCACTCACTCTCTGCTCACTCTCTCTGCTCACTCACTCTCTGCTCACTCACTCTCTGCTCACTCACTCTCTGCTCACTCACTCTCTGCTCACTCACTCTCTGCTCCCTCACTCTCTGCTCACTCACTCTCTGTTCCCTCACTCTCTGCTCCCTCACTCTCTGCTCCCTCACTCTGTTCCCTCACTCTCTGTTCCCTCACTCTCTGTTCCCTCACTCTGTTCCCTCACTCTCTGTTCCCTCACTCTCTGTTCCCTCACTCTCTGTTCCCTCACTCTCTGTTCCCTCACTCTCTGTTCCCTCACTCTCCTCCCTCACTCTCTGCTCCCTCACTCTCTGCTCCCTCACTCTCTGCTCACTCACTCTCTGCTCACTCACTCTCTGCTCACTCACTCTCTGCTCTGCTCACTCACTCTCTGCTCACTCACTCTCTGCTCACTCACTCTCTGCTCACTCACTCTCTGCTCACTCACTCTCTGCTCGCTCACTCTCTGCTCGCTCACTCTCTGCTCGCTCACTCTCTGCTCGCTCACTCACTCTCTGCTCGCTCACTCACTCTCTGCTCACTCACTCTCTGTTCCCTCACTCTCTGTTCCCTCACTCTCTGCTCCCTCAATCTCTGCTCCCTCACTCTCTGCTCCCTCACTCTCTGCTCCCTCAATCTCTGCTCCCTCACTCTCTGCTCCCTCACTCTCTGCTCCCTCACTCTCTGCTCCCTCACTCTCTGCTCCCTCACTCTCTGTTCCCTCACTCTCTGCTCCCTCACTCTCTGCTCACTCACTCTGTTCCCTCAATCTCTTGCTCACTCACTCTCTGCTCACTCACTCTCTGCTCACTCACTCTCTGCTCACTCACTCTCTGCTCACTCACTCTCTGCTCACTCACTCTCTGCTCACTCACTCTCTGCTCCCTCACTCTCTGCTCCCTCACTCTCTGCTCCCTCACTCTCTGCTCACTCACTCTCTGCTCACTCACTCTCTGCTCACTCACTCTCTGCTCACTCACTCTCTGCTCACTCACTCTCTGCTCACTCACTCTCTGCTCACTCACTCTCTGCTCACTCACTCTCTGCTCACTCACTCTCTGCTCACTCACTCTCTGCTCACTCACTCTCTGCTCACTCACTCTCTGCTCACTCACTCTCTGCTCACTCACTCTCTGCTCACTCACTCTCTGTTCCCTCACTCTCTGTTCCCTCACTCTCTGCTCCTTCAATCTCTGCTCCCTCACTCTCTGCTCCCTCACTCTCTGCTCCCTCACTCTGCTCCCTCAATCTCTGCTCCCTCACTCTCTGCTCCCTCACTCTCTGCTCCCTCACTCTCTGCTCCCTCACTCTCTGTTCCCTCACTCTCTGCTCACTCTCTGCTCACTCACTCTGTTCCCTCAATCTCTGCTCCCTCACTCTCTGTTCCCTCACTCTCTGCTCACTCACTCTCTGCTCACTCACTCTCTGCTCACTCACTCTCTGCTCACTCACTCTCTGCTCACTCACTCTCTGTTCCCTCACTCTCTGCTCCCTCACTCTCTGCTCCCTCAATCTCTGCTCCCTCACTCTGTTCCCTCACTCTCTGTTCCCTCACTCTCTGCTCCCTCACTCTCTGCTCCCTCAATCTCTGCTCCCTCACTCTCTGTTCCCTCACTCTCTGCTCACTCACTCTCTGCTCCCTCACTCTCTGCTCCCTCACTCTCTGCTCCCTCAATCTCTGTTCCCTCACTCTCTGTTCCCTCACTCTCTGCTCACTCACTCTCTGCTCACTCACTCTCTGCTCACTCACTCTCTGCTCCCTCACTCTCTGCTCCCTCACTCTCTGCTCCCTCAATCTCTGCTCCCTCAATCTCTGCTCCCTCACTCTCTGCTCCCTCAATCTCTGCTCCCTCAATCTCTGCTCCCTCACTCTGTCCCCTCACTCTCTGCTCCCTCACTCTCTGCTCCCTCACTCTCTGCTCCCTCACTCTCTGCTCCCTCACTCTCTGCTCCCTCACTCTCTGCTCCCTCACTCTCTGCTCCCTCACTCTCTGCTCCCTCACTCTCTGTCCCCTCACTCTCTGCTCCCTCACTCTCTGCTCCCTCACTCTCTGCACTCTCCCTCTCTGCTCTCTCTCTACTCCCTCTCTCTGCTCTCTCCCCTCTTTCATGTCTTTCTCTCTTGTCGCTCACTCTCATCTCTCTGTTTTGGGAAATGCATGATTAAAGCTGGGGTACGTAACATCCAAACCACAAAACAGTGAACCATGTAGCTGTAAATGTTGATAAATGTGTTGGGCCTAAAGTACAGCCTTGTGGGACTCCCATCAAATAACATGCAATAATGTCATGGGTTGTCAAACAGCTGCAGTCTGACTTGAACCAGGAAGTAGGACCAGATTAGTCCGGGTCTCGAGTCTCGGGTCTCGGGTCTCGGCACTGGTTTGAATGGTTCTCATAGTTTCAGAATCGTGAGTTATGGTCTGATTTGTTTTTGAATTGTTTAACTTTTACAAAACACCATTTGAGAAACACAAAAACTACCTATTTATGAGGTGCTAAAGTTAGGTACCCGAGCTTTACTTTGCTATATACAAAGATACTGTGTTTGTGAGAAGTCGGTCACAGCTTAAACTGCTCCTGAACAAAGCTGCTCTGTTCAAAAGTTTGGACGACTTCACGGAAAAGGGAAACTCAAACCAGGATCAAGAATCTGAAATGAAGCGAGTAGGAGCCATTTTATAATCATTGTGTTTACTATAACAGAGACGAGAGAGACCAGACAGAGAGGGAGAGAGAGAGACCAGAGAGAGACCAGAGAGAGACCAGACAGAGAGGGAGAGAGAGAGACCAGAGAGAGACCAGACAGAGACCAGACAGAGAGGGAGAGAGAGAGACCAGAGAGAGACCAGAGAGAGACCAGACAGAGAGGGAGAGAGAGAGACCAGAGAGAGACCAGACAGAGAGGGAGAGAGAGAGACCAGAGAGAGACCAGAGAGAGACCAGACAGAGACCAGAGAGACCAGAGAGAGAGACCAGAGAGAGAGACCAGAGAGAGAAAGACCAGAGAGAGAGAAAGACCAGAGAGAGAAAGACCAGAGAGAGAGAGACCAGAGAGAGAGACCAGAGAGAGACCAGAGAGAGAGACCAGAGAGAGAGACCAGAGAGAGACCAGAGAGAGACCAGAGAGAGACCAGAGAGAGAGACCAGAGAGAGACCAGAGAGAGGTAGAGAAAGAGAGAGAGAGAGCAGAGAGGAAGAGAGGGAGAGACCAGAGAGAGACCAGAGAGATTTATTTCTCATTTATTTGAGTTCTTTACTCAAATACATCTTTGAAAATCTGTGTTGAACCTGATCATTTTGTTGGCCTCTCTCTCACCTCTCTCTCACCCCTCTCTCACCCCTCCTCCTACACCTCTGCGGAGTCTCACTTTCTCCTTCCTGTCCAGAGTTCACACACTTCCCGTGGGCCCCAAAAACACAGACGCCGACTCGTGCGCTGAGGTTACGTCCCGGTCACGGCCCCCCACACCCCCCTCATACCCCCCCACACCCCCTCAGACCCCCCCACACCCCCTCAGCCTGAGAGAGAAGCCCAGGGCGAGTGAGTGACTGTGGGGCAGGGCCCCCAGCTCTGGAACCAGGTGTGACAGGTTTAAAGGAAACATGCAAAACAGACATTGTTTTCAGACCTTCAGTTGTTTTTAGAGCCATCCATGCCGGTTCAAAGGGGTCGACTCACCAGTTCAGTGTAGATGTGAAGGCAGCAATAAACAGGAGAGAAGTCCACCAACTCCTGAGCTCCAGGAACCTGCAAGATCCACAGCCTCAGTCCTGGGTCTACAGCCTCTGTCCTGGGTCTACGGCAGGGGTGCTCACACTTTTTCAGCATGCGAGCTACTTATAAAATGATCAAGTCAAAATGATCTACCTACTACAAAAATGCAAAACATATATTTATTTCTAAATATATTGAGGATTCTTTATATCTACATTGTATGTGGATGCACATGCAAAACCGCATGATTTATGAAATAATTTGCATCCACACATAACCGAACATCTGCGTTTTCAATCACATTCATAACATTCCAAACATATGCGTCATCTGACGTCCTGCGTTGGGGAAAAACACAGAAGCGGGCGGAGCTTTGATGCAGACGCCGGTACTTCTGTAGCGGCACTTTTACAGTCATAGAAGAAACTCAGGGTGAAGACATATTATTATAGATCCATGGTGAAGACATATGTTTACAAGCACTGACCCCTGTCCTCAGCCCTGGTTTGATCCTGGTTTAGCTCCTGTTGTGGTTGTTATCAAGCGTGAGTCCCCGTGATCACTTTGCTGCTGTCTGATGTGGAGGGTGTTTGCTGCTGTGAACCGCTCGCAGAAGCGAACAGTTTTTAAGGCAGTAAGATCCATGCTTCAGTGATCAGAGGTCGCACGTTTTGTTTGTTGTTGTTTTGGGGGCATACTGTGGTGTGCGAAAACGCAAAACTCCGGTTATCTCTGTCTACACGCAAATGTATAAACGGATATTTTTGTTTAATGTAATGCGATCTACCAATACAACCTTTGTGATCGACTGGTAGATCGCGATCGACGTATTGAGCACCCCTGGTCTACGGCCTCAGTCCTGGGTCTACAGCCTCAGTCCTGGGTCTACAGCCTCAGTCCTGGGTCTACAGCCTCAGTCCTGGGTCTACAGCCTCAGTCCTGGGTCTACAGCCTCAGTCCTGGGTCTACAGCCTCAGTCCTGGGTCTACAGCCTCAGTCCTGGGTCTACAGCCTCAGTCCTGGGTCTACAGCCTCAGTCCTGGGTCTACAGCCTCAGTCCTGGGTCTACAGCCTCAGTCCTGGGTCTACAGCCTCAGTCCTGGGTCTACAACCTCAGTCCTGGATCTACAGCCTCAGTCCTGGGTCTACAGCCTCAGTCCTGGGTCTACAGCCTCAGTCCTGGGTCTACAGCCTCAGTCCTGGGTCTACAGCCTCAGTCCTTGGTCTACAGCCTCAGTCCTGGATCTACAGCCTCAGTCCGGGATCTACAGTCTCAGTCCTGGATCTACAGTCTCAGTCCTGGGTCTACAGCCTCAGTCCTGGGTCTACAGCCTCAGTCCTGGGTCTACAGCCTCAGTCCGGGATCTACAGCCTCAGTCCGGGATCTACAGCCTCAGTCCTGGGTCTACAGCCTCAGTCCGGGATCTACAGCCTCAGTCCTGGGTCTACAGCCTTAGTCCTGGATATACAGCCTCAGTCCTGGGTCTACAGCCTCAGTCCTGGATCTACAGTCTCAGTCCTGGGTCTACAGCCTCAGTCCTGGGTCTACAGCCTCAGTCCTGGGTCTACAGCCTCAGTCCGGGATCTACAGCCTCAGTCCGGGATCTACAGCCTCAGTCCTGGGTCTACAGCCTCAGTCCTGGATCTACAGTCTCAGTCCTGGGTCTACAGCCTCAGTCCTGGATCTACAGCCACGGTCTTGGATCTAGAACTGGTCTCACCTCCTCTTCCTCGTCCTGGACCCCAGAGTCTTCTTCTGCCGTTGGACCGGTGCCGTTCTGAAGCGCGGCCATCATGGCGGCGGGGAGCTCCCTCCGGGTCCGTCGTCCAATCAGAGGCCTTGGCTGAGCGGTCACCGAGCTGTCCAGGGAACGCTGCAGCTGGGCCTGGACACAGAGGACCAGGGACGTGAAGGAGACCAGCAAGACCTCAGTGTGTGACATCACCACCGTGTGACATCACCGCAGTGTGACATCACCGCAGTGTGACATCACCACCGTGTGACATCACCGCAGTGTGACATCACCGCAGTGTGACATCACCGCAGTGTGACATCACCGCAGTGTGACATCACCATGCTGTGACCCTAACCCTAGCCGCAGAGATTTGGAACCAAATTTTCTCTATGAGCACTTCCCTTTGGGCTTCATGGAGCTAGCGGGTCAGCATCGTTAGCATTTGTAAAGAATCTAAAGCCTCAAAGGAACAGGCTCCGTGTTTACAGACTGACACATGTTCTTACCTCAGACTGATATGTACCTGTCTGGTCTGTGTCCGTGTGCTCTGTCATGCAAACGCAGCACAAACACAGCCTCTTCCACAGACTGTATAGTTCCAAATCAGCTCCTGTTAGAAGCTCCCAAACTCTTCCACGTGTTCTCTGTTTAAATACAGTTACGTGACGTGTTACTCTACAAAGTATAGTAACACAGAAGAGTAACATGTCCATTTTCTCAGTGGATAAAAAGAGGAACTATATTGTGAGGCGTAATAATACGAGGAGCACTTCGTCCGCGCACTAACTCCTAAATCAGAATAATTTTTATTGCCACGTAGGTAACAGGAAGTTACAGGAAATTGCTTTGGCTCAGTGCAACAGTCAGAAAGAGATAATAAAAATAAAGAATAAAAAACACTTGTCACAAGTGACGTATGATGGGCAGTAAAGTGACTTTATAAAGGGCGGGGGGACAGGTTAAGAAGTGTTCAAGAGTCCAACAGCAGAGGGGAAGAAACTGTTCTTGTGGCGGGAGGTTCTAGTCCCTGATGGACCGCAGCCTCCTGCCTGAGGGGAGTGGTTGGAATAGTCCATGTGCAGGTGAGAGGGGAGTGGTTGGAATAGTCCATGTGCAAGTGAGAGGGGAGTGGTTGGAATAGTCCATGTGCAGGGTGAGAGGGGTCGGCTGTGATACGACCAGCCCGGCCTCGAGCTCGGGCGACGTACAGGTCCTGCAGCGATGGAAGGCTGCGGCCGATCACTTCCTCTGCAGAGCGCACAATGCGCTGTAGTCTCTGTTTGTCCCTGACTGTGGCTCCAGCGAACCACACGGTGATGGAGGAGGTGATGGAGGAGGTGATGGAGGAGGTGATAGAGGAGGTGATGGAGGAGGTGATGGAGGAGGTGATGGAGGAGGTCAACATCTGTGCAGGCAGCTTGGCTTTCCTGAGCTGCCGCAGGAAGTACATCCTCTGCTGGGCCTTCTTGATGAGGAGCTGATGGTCGGCTCCCACTTGAGGTCCTGGGTGACGGTGGTGCCCAGGAAACGGAAGGACTCCACAGAGGTGATGGGGGAGTCCATCACGGAGGGTGGGGGCGGGGGGACTAAAGACTTCTCTCCCGCTCACGCTGCTTCTATTGACGGAAGTGAGCGGGAGAGAAGTCTTTAGGAGTTAGTGTATTATTACGCCTCACAATATACATTTGTGTGTTACTATACTTTGTAGAGTAACACGTCACGTAACTGTATTTAAAAGGTCCTATATCACGCTTTTCTTCATGTTTCACACTCAATCCTATACACATGTGTGATATTAATGTGTATGATACACCACACAACAATCAAAGCTTGTGAGATTAGAGCCATCTCTTGTATAGAGGTGACGTCACCTCGACTCAAACGAGCTGATCCAGAGAAGAGTCTGCTCCTCTGCCTGTGAGCCCGCCTCCCCCCGCCCTCACCCGCCTCCCCCCGCCCGCACGCTGACGTAGCATCACGCTTTTGTCGTTTATCACCTGTACTTAGTAATTTCATACATAAGAATAAACTTTTTCCAAAAATGACAATCCGTCACATGGAGCCCTATGTCCTCGATGCACAATCAGACCCTAGTTATTTAGTTTACAGAAGTATACAGCGAGTTAGCGTCACTACTTACAGATCGAGGGGGTCCGAGTTACGTCTTTTACCGTGGGAATAACGTGTTTCCAGATCAGCCTTTGAGTAAGTCCAGTTCCATTGTCCCTGTAGTTCTGGAACAGTCTCAGTGAAGTGTCGCAGATGAACCGGTTTATAATAGATCCATGAGATGAACAGATGAAAAAAGTCGAGCCGCTTTCTTCCTCTTAGGGCCAAATAGTGTGTCACATATTTACACCCATAACATACTTCATTCAAGTTGACGTGATCCTAACACTTTTAGTTTCTGACAAAAGCATAAAAACAGCAGCTCTATGTGGTGTCCGCGAGACCAGACCACAGACGCTGGACTCAGGAGCCGGAGCGCTCTGATTCGCTGTTTTGATCTGTCAATCACCTCCCGCCGGCTTTTAATTTATTTTTATTTTTATTATTTTTGACAAAAAACAGCATACTAATTGTGTATTGTTTACCCCGTTTTGACAAAAGTATTTAACAACTATTTTAAATACAAAGTAAACGGGGTCATGCGCGTCATCAGTGTGGTTTTCGTCACTGAAGTGGACCCGAGCGTTTCTGTGCCTCACGCTGGGGAAGGACACAGATTGTTCTCTTACTAACGATTGACAGAATCAATGAATAAACTACTGTGGGCTTGTGTATGAGGCCAAATAGCATTGTAATCATGTTTAAAGCAGAGAAAAGTCAAAAACCGTGATATGGGCCCTTTAAACAGGGAACACGTGGGAGAGTTTGGGAGCGTCTAACAGGAGCTGATTTGGAACTATACAGTCTGTGTTTGTGCTGCGTTAGCATGACAGAGCACACGGACACAGACCACACAGGTACATATCAGTCTGAGGTAAGAACATGTGTCAGTCTGTAAACACGGAGCCTGTTCCTTTAACACAAGATTCTGCACCGAAACGATCCGTCAAAACCACATCAAAACATTATGATCAGAAACATTGTTTACTACTGTACATGTAACAAACAGACGCGGTCATGTTTATTTATATAGCACATTCAACAGCCCAAGGCACAGACCCAAAGCACTTAGTTCAGAGTCAGATACTGTTCCATTCTCTCGAAGCTGTGATGAAGCGAGACCTGAACACACTGGTCCATCAAAGCCTCCGACCAAACACCACCCACTCTTTACACTCAGACTATTCCACATGATTATAGAGGCAGGAAAAACCCGAGCACCTGGAGGAAACCTACGCAGACATGGAGAGAACATGCAAACTCCACTCTAAAAGGTGGAGGTGGAATCAAACCCAGGACCTTCTAGCTGTGAGGCACAAGCTCCAACAGCTGCACCACTGTGTTCAGGAAATTCCAGTGTTGCATCACAAGTTACAGAACAGTATGAATGAGAACACAGCACAGATAAATGAATAACTAAAGTAATCCAAATAAAACACAATCTCTAACTCTAGCATCAAAGAAACAAGAATAAAACCTCCATCTTCAACATAATAAAGAAGTTCTAAAATGAAATGTGTTTTTACAGACAGTTTGGTGAAGTCGGGGGTGTCCAGACATTTAGGAGAGCGGGCCCCAGACTCGGGTTTGGGTCCAGACTCACCACATTCCTATGATATAAAAACATTCGTACTAAAAGGTTGGAAAAGGACAAACTCTAGATTTCGGGTTAGATTGTGACATTTTGGGCCAATTCTTTTTGTTAAATATATAAGAACGTCCTTTATTAGTCCCACAGCGGGGAAGTTTCAGTTTGATAAATACACAACAAGGCAGCGGACATTACTTCAATGGTCCTTATGGGCAAAGTGGGTGAAGTGTCTTGCCCAAGGACACAACAGCAGCACAACGGAGAGAGACCAGAGAGAGACCAGAGAGAGACCAGAGTGAGACCAGAGAGAGACCAGAGTGAGACCAGAGAGAGACCAGAGAGAGACCAGTGAACAGATGTACTTTACTGGGACGCATTTATGTATGAAAGTTAAGTCTACCAGTGATATATTCTGTATGGGCTTAGTGTACAGGTGAAAACATTGAAAACTAAACTATCCCTCCCACCAAAGGGCCATGCTAGTTACCATAGCAACGTAATGTTTACTTGTTAGTAGTTAGCAGTTGGTAGCGTTATACATTATTATATGGTAAATTAACCATATGCAACCCTATTTTTGAACATGCGACTTTGTAATGACAGTATACTTATATAGACTGCTGTCATCGTTACCTACGTTTTAATCACACTCTCTTTCGCTCTCTCCCTCTCCTTTTCTCTCTCTCCTTTCTCTGTCTCCTCTCTCTTTCTCTCTCGCTATCCTTTCCTCTCTTTTCCCCCCCTGGGGTTTTTCCCCCTTTCCTCTTTCTCAATCTCGCTACCTCACACTCTCTGTCCCTCTCTCTTTCTGTCTCTCTCACTTTCAATCTTCATTCACTCTCATCTCTATATCTCTTTCCTCTCTCTCACCTCGTCACTCTCTCACTCACTCTCTCATTGTATCTTCCACAGTTTCTGAGGGGGACAGTTGGGACCATATTGACAGACATCGTCCCACATTGGCATATACTACCCGACCCGAGACCTGGTGATCCTGGACGTTCTGCGCTTCAGGCTGTGATGGTCATACCTCAACCTGCTGTCAAACCCAGCTCCTGCTTCTTTGTCTATCAGATGTATAAAGAACGAGGAGGGGACTACAAACCGTCAACTTTGGTAATGTTAAGTCGACAAATTTGTTTTACGGGGGGGAATTGCCAAAATGTGACGATTTGATACGATATTTGAGCCGCAATTCAAATCCAGATAAATTAACCTATAATATCTCACACCCCAGCACAATAAAATGATCAATAACCTCTCTATTGAATAAACTCAATCTTTAACTTTAGCTGTCAAAAGAAGCAAGTTATAAAGCTCTACCTTAGGCCTATAGAAGAAAAAATAAACAAGTACAAATTATAATTTAGCATACTAAAGAATATATAATCACTGCCTTTACCATATTAATAAGCAAGTATAGAATAATTTATCTTTATTGTATTTTTAACATAGAGTGAGTGTTGTGTAATTTTATTCTGTTTAAATTGTGCAATTCTTGACCCTTATATTATTCACAAAAATAAGATAAGGGAAACAATAACAATATACTAAAGATACATAAAAATTCTCGAACTTTAAGGCAGAGTAAAGAAGCAAAATGAAAGTATAAAAATCTCTGAACTTTAGAATATAAGAAGCAAACTATAAAACATTGCTGAAGAGCAAATCTTTCAAAAATGCCTCATATTAAACCCACTTTGGCAACGCAAAGCTGATCTCATAATTCAAATTCTATTCCACATCTACAAACTAGTGGAGAAAATTACTGCAAGAAAAGTTGCGGCTATTTTTAACTCTGCTCCATGAGAATTACAAGGAAATCTCTACTCCACTTTTGGATGAAACAGAGTAAAACTTGATTAAATCCAATCTGGTGAAATTAAAACTGAAAGGAGTGTTCGCCAATCACTGAACCACATGCAGAAACATTCCTCACGCAAACTCATATTGCTCCGGTCACAAGACTTTGAAATGAAGCGACGTCTTTTTAGGCAGAAGTATGGTGGTGTGGTTTAGCTGTTTATGACCCAACCCCAGACTACATTTACAACAAACATAGTATCATCAGAAAGACACAATGTTGCCATGAGACAAAAGATTACGTTATAGATCCTTTCTTCGACACCACAGTGGGGACATTTACCAGAAGAGTAGTATGAATGAGGACACACAACACAAGATTAATAAATAAAACCACTATCTTAGCATAATAAAGACGCTAGTATAACATCACTAGCATTAGGCATAATACAGAACAAGTAAGAAATCTCTAGCTTTAGCATAATAAAAACAAGTATAAATCTATAGCATTAGAGAAAAACGGAGGCAATTAATAATAATATCTAAACGTTATAGCATAATGAGGAAAACTAATAATTAAGTACAACCTCTCTGACTTTAGCTTAATAAGAAGCCGGTGTAAAAATGACAATCACTTTGCCATGCAAGTTAAATTTCGAGTGCAAGAAATATATATATCATGTGTACATGTTAGACCATGAGGCTCTGGGCCAAAGTAGACTCCGTACAGTGACATGACACATGGTGTTCTAATAGTGCACATTCTGACAATATTAAAAGTACTATTGTCACATAAAAGTAAAGTATTGTTTCTGCCCTATTTAGAAAGACACTCAAAATGAAGCTTGGACTGCTCCACCAGAACTAAGACGCGAGCTGCCGGCTTAATCCGCTCCAAAACTTATTCCCTACTCCTTGGCTTATGAGTCTATTTTCAGGATTACCAAAATATTCTCTTTCTCCATAATGCGATTTGGATGGTAGTGCTGCAACAGACTGCAAAACCAAAAAAGAGTCCTCCTGTGGGCTCTTTGGAGAACATTGAATATTGATGGACCCGGTTTATGAATGACCGTGCAAGTGGCTAAGCAGAGGCTAGAAGCAGCGGCTGAAAGCAAGGCGGAAGCAGAGGCTGATGCAGAGTCCTGATGCAGAGGCTGAAGCAGAGGCTGAAGCAGTGGCTGAAGCAGTGGCTGAAGCAGTGCTGAATCAGTGGCTAAGCAGAGGCTGCAGACAGAAGGCTGAATCAGAGGCTGAAGCAGAGGCTTGAATGCCTCACCCACCCCGCAGAGGCTGAAGCAGAGGCAGAAGCAGAGGCTGAAGCAGAGGCTGAAGCAGAGGTGAAGCAGAGGCGAAGTACAGTGGCTGAAGCAGTGGCTGAAGGCAGAGGGCAGAATCCAGAGGCTGTAGCAGTGGCAGAAGCAGAGGCTGAACAGAGGCTGAAGCAGAGGCTGGAGCAAGCTGGAAGCAGAGGCTGGACGCAGAGAGCGAAGCAGTGTCTAAGCCAGATGGCTGAAGCAGAGGCTGAAGCAGAGGCTGAAGCAGAGGCCCGAGCGAGGAGGTGAATTTAATTGCTGTTTAGATTGTAGCACGATCGTTATCAGGATCACGATGTTTAGTCACTCTGTAAAGCCCGAACATCCAGCCGGACATCTCAAGCGATTAAAGATTATTGGCCTTTTTTCTAGCACTCTGGTACAATTGTACATATCGTATATGTGGGTATAAGATGTGTATACAATGACAATACGAATATACTCAAGTCCCTATTTACTAATGATGTTATGTTATCATGGTTGACCTACAAACTTGTAGAATCAAACAAGGGTTTGGTTAGGATTTAGAAAGGTAGGTCCCAAGATATAAGCCTGTGTGTTCGACATAGCCTAGCTGAACGCGATTGCACATAGATTTATTTTTTTATCCCAACTTTATTTATTGAAACATTAAGACATAAAACAATTAAAATTCCATCGACATCCGAGATATACAACTCCTGTGAGGAGAAAATAGAAAGAAAACAATAGCTGAATGTACAAACCCCAATACCTCATAACAACGCAATCACAATAAGAAGATAAATAGAAACTATATTAAATCTCAGAAAACGTTAATATTCTGAAAATAACGACAGACCCAAGACTTTGATGTAATGAGTCTTTATCACATATTTATGATATACTATCCTATATTGTCCAGTCTTGGGGGGGGGGTTTTTTTTTTTTCCCCCCCCCCCCCCCAAACCCCATTTAAGTTCAAGAGCAGAATTAATTAACTTTTTGTGTTCATTTTTTTTCAACATTTTTGATTACACATTGCGAGCCAGGATACACACAACATTTACATATACTGTAATAAGCAAACCATGAGATGGCACTTTGTAAACATTATAATACATTATTTTAAAAGCTTTCTATTGTTTTGTTTGTTTTGCTATTTACAAACGTGTATCAAAACTGTACCAAATACAAATGAACTATTTATAAAACAGAAGGGATTCCACCCTATAAAGAGAAAAGGTTTGTTTTCTTTCAGGTACTGTTTCTTGAACCTAACACACTTCATATTTGTTTCCTGTACCACTTTTTGTTTACACGTTTTCTCTCGTATGTTTCACGTCATTAATACCTGTTTTTTGTTTCCCTTCCTACTGCCTGACGTTGACGGTTAAGACTTTGAGACTATCTATAGACAGCCGATGCACCCACGTACCGTGCTGACAGTGCCTACATAAAGGCCGTCGCTATGATTGCCTCGGCTTTCTCCCCTCTCTCTCCCTTTTGTACATTTCGCGATCCTCCGAACAATCTTCCTCCAGCTCCTTGTCCACTAATTGCTCCTTGGACTCAAGAGACTCCTTTTACCGTTTTACCACTTATCTTGTATTTTAGTTTATCTATGTTTTGTCCTGTCAAACTTCTCCCGATGTACCCTTTGAGTCTATGTTGAATGTGCTTGTACTGTTCTCCAAAGTTTTGTTGATGGGAACCGTGTATGTAAATTATGTCCTGAATGCATCTTTTATTCATACTCCATACTCTCGCCGGTGCCTAATTTGTGTTTTTGGTGTGTGTTCTGTTTTATTTTGAGCTTCACTGTGTGATGGCGCCTCTTCATCAGCCTTAAATAAAGTCTGCACACTGTTGACTCCATGCATCTCTGAGCGTTTACAAGACCGACGTGCAACATCTGACGACAACTTTTGAGAAACTTTTTACCTGGCATTTCACTATCAATGCACGTTCCAATACACTGCACCATCCATCACTGTAATCATTATTTAGGATAAGATAAAGTCCTTTAATTCCTCCCACAGTGGGAACTATATTCAATGTTAAAGCGCACAAACAGGACAGTAGCAAGAGCACACAAAAATCCAATAAGTACTACTATTTTTTATTAGCTAGCTATTTTTATTATCCATCTAAATAACTAGTGCGAAGTTATATAGATATAGAGCAGGATAATAAGTAATAAAGTGACAATCAGTAGACATTCTGCAGTATTGCACTTCATATTTGATTTAGTTTTAAAAACGTACACACTTTATCAACGATAACATATTTTGTCCAAGGATTTAAGCCTGGTATCTGTTCTGCGAGCCAAGCTGTATGTACATTATTCAGGTTTTTTTCAACAACATTTTATTTTGTGTAAAGCCGTAAATGCACAACAGTAGTTATCTCAGAGGACACAGATCAGAGAAACAAACCTTCAAGAAATAAGAGACTATTTCCAAAAAATACCGTACACAAAATGCACTTAAAAATATTAGAAAATAATACAAAAACGTATTTCAGTTGAGAGAAACTTTCATGTTTATTTGTGAAATAACAGTAGACCCCTTTTACTACAGACTCAATCCTACACAATTCACAATCGTTCAATCTTCAAGTATGTAAACTAGTAATGTCACTTCTGTTGCCTCCAAGTCCATTTACAGGCAACACAAATGTTCACTCGCACCACTATCTCTTTGGTATGTCAGGAAACAAAAGTTAAAGCTCGTATACCTAACTTTGAAAATGACGCCAGCCCTGACTCAGCCAATGAGCTGTCAGTATGTACCTGACTCGGCCAATGAGCTGTCAGTATGTACCTGACTCGGCCAATGAGCTGTCAGTATGTACCTGACTCAGCCAATGAGCTGTCAGTATGTACCTGACTCGGCCAATGAGCTGTCAGTATGTACCTGACTCAGCCAATGAGCTGTCAGTATGTACCTGACTCAGCCAATGAGCTGTCAGTATGTACCTGACTCAGCCAATGAGCTGTCAGTATGTACCTGACTCAGCCAATGAGCTGTCAGTATGTACCTGACTCAGCCAATGGAGCTGTCAGTATGTACCTGACTCAGCCAATGAGCTGTCAGTATGTACCTGACTCGGCCAATGAGCTGTCAGTATGTACCTGACTCGGCCAATGAGCTGTCAGTATGTACCTGACTCAGCCAATGAGCTGTCAGTATGTACCTGACTCAGCCAATGAGCTGTCAGTATGTACCTGACTCAGCCAATGAGCTGTCAGTATGTACCTGACTCAGCCAATGAGCTGTCAGTATGTAGAAGAGTAACATACTGACGCTTAAAGATCAGAACAGTATTTATTCTGATTTGTTTAAAAACTAAACGTATTCATGAAAACAAATAGTTGAGGAGTCCAGCTTTAAGAACCAAACGTGCGCCTCCTCCCTGTACGGCGTGGAGCAACAAACACAAGCTAACAGCATCCAGCTAACAGCATCCAGCTAACAGCATCAAGCTAACAGCATCAAGCTAACAGACTCCAGCTAACAGCATCAAGCTAATAGCATCCAGCTAAAAGAATCCAGCTAACAGCATCCAGCTAACAGCATCCAGCTAACAGCATCAAGCTAATAGCATCCAGCTAACAGTATTCTTCCAGACAAACACAGAGTTTATCACCGGGACATAAACCTGTCAGAGTGTGCTGTTCCAGAGGCGGAAAACCCACGACTTCTATCGATCCTGACAATGGCGGTGTTAGCGAGTTAGCGAGGCGTGAAGGATGGACCAGGGCTGTGGGGGCCCTGACGGGTGGGGGCCGTGATTCGTCTGGTTTAACGACGTCAATTAAAAGTGGCATTTTCCGTGAGCTGCTTCGCTAACACGTCTCTGAAGAATCATGTCCCTCTGACCTGACACCAGCAAAACATGAAGCTAACGGCGGCGCGCTAATGAGGCACGTTCAATTAAAGCTCAGGT